AGTATAAAGCCTAAAACATCACATAAAATTAACCATATAATTCAAGACACATATAAAGAAAAATGATATGCATGATTGTAGTTCATATCATTATTCAGATCCTTGACATGCCATATAATTTCATTACATGCATATCTTACAGACTTTTATTATTGAACCAGCTTCATATACTCTTCTTGTATCTTCTAGAACTTTTGAATTCTCTTCTATTGAATATGTTGCATAATCATTTTGGACAATTGGAATTCATACATCTCAACTAATTCTCCATCTCCAGCTCCATGTTCTCCATGTCCTTAATCAATTCAAGTTCTTTTGTAATCAACAATCCTATAATACCATTAGGCTTCCACTTCATCTACTTGAATTACATTTATACTAAAAAAATTGATACCATATTCTTATATTACAGTCTTTGATCAAGTCAATGCATATTCTTTGACTCAAATATAATTCTTTTTTAGTGAAGATATATATTCTGCAAGCTTTGATGATCTATTAATACTTAACATTTGATTTGATATAATTAATTTATCCTTATCATTAGTGTAAATATAGTTTCAACTAACTTTAAATCATGTATAAGATAGTTCTTTTTATGAGTTTTTTTAACTATTTAGAAGCACAAGTTATCACCTCATAATACTACTTCAACATATAATCCAATCTCTTATATGATGCATCATTAAAAATTTGGAAATTTTTAATTCCTAATAGATGTCTATGAGAAGAGATAAACCTTCATTCTAGTTTTGAAAATTATCTTTAGATTTGATAGTCAATTAAAATTACATTGCCTTTTTAGTGTATTATAATGACATTGTAATATATGAACATCTCTTTATAACTGAGTTAACATGGATAACTTCTTATAGTAGCTTGTTTTACTCCCATTTTTTTTTTAAATTTTGATATATTGGCAGGCTTTGTCCATGTAGTTACTTCCTTTACCTTTTGAGGATCAACAAAAATATCTTTTCGACTTACAAAACATCCTATGTAATACTCATCAACTAAAATTTATATTTTAACAACTTAAGATGCAACTTGTTCCTCCTTAGTGTCTCTGACATCAGACACAAAAATGTGATATGATAATCATCATTCCTTGAATACAATAATATCATCTATGAATATTCATCAACAAGTCTAAATAAGACTTGAACATCCAATTCATCATATCCATGAATATCCTTATAGTGCATTCATCACCTTAAATAGAAACATTAAAGATTCATAGTGTTCACATCTAATATTGAAATTGAACTTGGTCGCATCTTTCTCTCTCTCCCTTAAATAATGATACCATGACCTTAAATTTGTCTTTAAAATAACTTATATCTGATTAAACAAATCATCAAACATGTGCACTTTATACTTATTCTTGTTTCCTATCATATTAAACTCTCAATAATCTATGTAAATCTTCATTGTCCCATTTTTCATCTTCATAAATAACAAAAGAGTTGTCAGGATTATTCATACGATCTAACAAACTCATAAAAATAATGTCCTTCAATTACAACTTCAGATCTTGTAATTCTTCTATGCATATTATATACATAGTTGACTAAGTTTAACTTAATTTCGCATTCAAGTGCCAAATTTATTAATTCATATGAAGCAAATTCAATTATTACTACCACTACAGGAAAACCCTTTATTACCGGCGGACTAAATCCGCCGGAACACATAGATAATCCGCCGTAACACATAGATAATTCGGCGGAAATGCATACGCCGGTTTCGGTCGCGTTTATAAATTTTTTCCGACGAATATAATGCGCCGGAAAACCATAAGTTTCCAGCGCACTTACCGACGCCTTACCGCGTAAAACATCGGATTGGTGCCGACGATTCACAGCCAGTATTATAATATTAAGATCCAACTTATTTGGCTAGAAAAAGGGAAGGTAGAAATATAATAACATATGACAATTTCTTTTGCTAGGAGACACTAGAGAGGAATAAAATGCATGGTATGTTCTAAGTGTTAATTATGGTCTACATTTCAACATGTTAATCTTGATAAAGTGAAGTCAATAATTAAGTGGTTAAAGACTACCGATATATTTTAAATTAGAACTTTTATTAGTTGTGATGGCTATTATATGAATCTTGTGAAGATTTTTTTTTTTAAATAGCATTATTATTGATATATAAACAAAAAAATCTTTTAATCAAGCATAAATCTCGAGACAATATTTAAATTGGAAACTTTCATAATTAAATATTTTAGGATCATCGATATTCTAATTTTAGTAAACTGATAGTTGAATAAAATTTCTTTACAAGATGAACCTAATGACATTTAAAGAAATTTAATATAGATCATTTGATGGAGTGTTGAGATATTAATTAAAAGGCCAAACAATTAAATGAAAATTATTGCTTTATATGGTAATAAAAATATATTTAGGAATGTTGAGATATTAATTAAAAGGCCAAACAATATCCAAATGCTGCATGCATATAGTCCAATTATGAAACTTGATGTTAAAAATTGAATGAGCTCAAAATCATATGATTATGAAATTTTTGGGCACTTAAATGCTAAATAAACGACATACAATCAAATAATTTAATATAGATCATTTGATGGAGTGTTATAAAAATTTGATTAGATTTATCATAATTTCATTCATAACATAATATAAATAGACTTACATCCTCCATATGAAGAGGTCATAGACTTGAATTTAGAGAGATATTAGAGATTTGAAGTATTCTAAAGATTTACCCGACGTTTGTTGCTGACAATCTCCTCTAGCTTCCACGGTCATCCAATAGCTTAGACTGTCAATGCTTGACCACAACCTTTCGATAATCATAATATATTCACCATCATTTAGATGAAATATTTAAATGAAATTTGCTTTAAATTTTAATATTTTAAATTGAATTTCTACTTATTAACATATTTGGTCCATTCTTTTTTTTATTTAAGCTTTTCTTTGGATTAAGTTAAAAATGCATGCCAAATTCATTCTTTAATTATCATAAAGAATTATTGTATTAGAATAGCTCTATTTAAATTATAATGATGAAAACAATTAGTCTGTCATGTAAATTCAGGTTAGAAAGAAATATGAATTAATGGACTACACTCATATAAAAGGAAGTAATTTGTGCTATAATTAATCATAAGAAATTTAATCTTTATAATTTTTAATTAATTCTATTTTTTAAATCACATATTGAATTAAAATATTAAAAATATTCATTAAGTGTATTGAATCATTAATAATCCTTTATTAAGGAATATATTGAATGTTTATTTAAAAACTTTTTATTTTGAGTTATTATATACTCAATATTCCACATTGGAAATAAGCCTTTTACCTATAAAATTTGCATACAATAAATTATTATTTCTAATTTTTGTAATTTATTATGTCTATTCAATCTTGATTTTAGTTTAGATAGATAGTTCATCAATTATTCACCCCCTTAGTTGTGTATAAGGCCCACATCTTGATAAATGTAAACCAATTAAGAATTTCAATTGATAAAGGGTTTTGCCTAATTTGGGTTGACTTGATTTATTGGGGGGATGATTCAATTCAAAGGGTGATTGATATGTTAATGAGTAAGTAGGGTTTGATGAGACATGTTGAGGGGAAATTTATGCATTAGATAATTAAACTTATTGGCTTCCTTAATTAGAGCCCAATTAAGTCACATTGAGCTAATTTCATTAGGGCTAGATTAGTCAAAACCAATAGTGAATTAAGGTGAATCTTAAGAGATCCATGAACCCCTTGATCTTATGTGGGACCCACTGGGTTGATATGTAAATATCATTGAGTCTAAGGGTTATGAGGCTTTATTTAATTAGTCACAATCCTAATTAGGCTTTGACCATGTAAACTTTATGCATGGTGAGCTAAGGCTAAGTAGAGCTCAATAGATTAACTAGAAAACCCTATTAGTTAGCTTGAATAAGGCAACTCAATGAGCATTAACCTTGGCTTAACATAATTATAGGGGTATCAAAATAGTTTTTTGGGGTCGGGTTTGGGTCCAACTCAAAATTGACATGCCTTCAACACCCCGCAACCCGAAATTGACATGCCTTCAACCCCCCCCCCCCCACCACTCGAACCAAACCAAAGTCTAATCTAGGTCGCTCAAGCCCCCGCTAGGTTGCAAGGCTTGTGTGGGTGCGAGTGCGAGCTTGTGCAAGTGAAGGGGGCGAGAGCGATGTAGGCATAGACGCAAGAGTATGTAGGCAAGCGCACGTGCGGGCACAGGCGTGAGTGCGGGGGTAGGTGCATGGGCAGGCATAGGCGCGGTTGCGAGAGCGCTACGGATGTAAGAGCTGGTGCTCTGGGCTGGAGCGAGGGAGTCCGAGACCATTGCGAGCGGGGGGTGACCCGGGTTAGTTTCGTGTTGATTTAGAGTTTTCGGATTGATCCAAACCTGACCTGAAATTAGAAATTGGTCATAAAATTAAACCCGAACTCGACCCATTTGCAAAACGGGTTAACCCAAACTCGAAATTTGTCAGGTTAGGTTCGAATCGAGATCCTTGTGAGATCAAATATTAACACCACTAACATAACTTAATTATAATAAACTCTATCAACTTATCTTAATCATTGTGATCATAACTGTGAAATAATGATTAATTAGGCTAAGTGGAATGATATATAAGCTCACATGGGTTAAGTAGTGCACTAGTGTTAAGATAGGCTACCTATGACATTAAAAAAAATCTACTCTTATTTAACATCTTAAGAATTATTTTCATAATGTCTTATAATAAAAAATATTTGAGATCATAATTGATATTGAGTTTTAAAATTGTTGAAGCCATCGAAATTCGAAATTGTGTCAAAATTATAAAATTTCCTTCTAATAACACTTTATAAAAAAAAAAGGAGTTTTCAACCCTTGTTCGTAACCATTCTGAAAAAAAAAAACTACACTTTAATTAAGCTATTCTCTCATTAATTACTACGCGGTATTTAAAAGGTCATGGCGAAGATACAGATTTAAGATTTACAGACTGAATTGAGTGCATCGACTTAGACCAATCAGCAAAATTCGGGAATGGCGGAGGAGGAAACTAGAAGCCCGCCGACGAGCGGGGCAGAGAACTCGCAGGGAGATAGAGGGAGACCCGGCAGTGGTGGTGGTGATGGTGGTGGTGGAGGAGTAGGATGGGGTGGTTGGGATTTCTCTTCTTTCTCCGTCTTATCGGATCTACAGAAGGCTGCCTCTGCCGCAGCACAAGAGATCTCTAGAAATGTGCGTTTTTTACTTTCTTTATTCGTAATATATTAGGGTTTACTAATCGTATCTTCTTCTTTATTGGATTGAGTTTTGAGTGGATTACGCCCTTACCTATGTTTGGTGGGTTTCTTTGTTGGCATTGTATCAGGCTGCTGCTGTTGCTAAAAGTATAACAGAAATAGAGATTGCAGAAGAGGATGCAAAGTCTGATGCCTCTGCTGGTAAAGAGGGGAAGGAGTTTGAGAATGACATGGAGGATGAGAAAAACCTCCTCCGTAAGTCAGCTTTGGATAAGTTGGAGAAAGCCAGTGAAGAGTCGTTGCTGGGACAGGCAAGTCATCCGAATTGAGGAAGATGTATATTATTCTTATTATTATTGAAAGTTTAGGCCTTGTAGGCTACTTTATTATGTTGTTCCTAGAATTTCAAGGCCTTTATTCTTCTCTTTAATTTTTCCTTCAAGTCGAGTACTGGGGTTTGTTTTCATGTCTGTCATGTGCAGGGTCTGAAGGTTATTGATAGCTCTGTGGAAAGCTTGGCTTCAGGGGCATGGCTTGCAATCGGGAATGCACTGAAGGGAGGATCAAACCTTGTACACAAGTATGCTATAATTGAGGGTTGCATGGTGCTGCTTTTGGATTGCTATTTTATAATTTAAAATCCGGCTTTCTACATATCGAAGTCCATGACCTTCACTTGCTTGCAAAGCGTACCACATAAAATTTATAAGCTATACTGTTTTTTTTCTTAAGTACCTTTGTTTCTTGAGTGCTGTTGTAACTACCAGTCAATAATGTTGAGAGATTAAGTGATTCCTTGATGAAAATACTTTGAATTTTTTTCACGAAACAAAGATAAATATATGATTAAGATGATTGTTCTAATTGAAATGATCAGTTGTATATGCTGTGATTGGTAACTATTTAAATAAAGAGATAGGATAACTCTTGGAAATTAGGATGCATATACATAGTATCATACATTTAATTATACACATTAACTTATACATGGACACACATATGCATACATATTTATTTATGGATATAATATGTATATTATGTATAATTTATACAAATATACATATATACATACTTACAATAAAAAAATAAGAAGCTTTGTTATAAAAATTGGTTTAGAAGTAAATGCTCAAAAAATTGGGAAATATATAGAGGGGCCTACAACGATTCTATGAAGGCAATATATGATATAAAAATTTTAGATTTTAGTAAGTTCTATAATAGATTAGATACTAAGGATGTCGAAAAATATATGTATAAGTTAGCTAAGAAGATACTCAAGTGAAGTAAATATTTAGTTCAAATGAAGTGTATTATGGATGAAGATCAAAAAGTTCTTTTCTTTGATGAGGGTATTCAACATAGATGTATATGGTATTTTGATAAATGTTTTAATGAAGGTTATGAGAATACAATTGACTTTATTGACATTAGCACCCTAAATGAAAATAGTGATTTTTATTTTTATCGTCCTATTAGTAAACATGATGTTGGAGAGGCTTTAAAGAAAATCAAGTATGAAAAAGCAATATGATATGATGATATTTCGATAGAAGAACAAAAATACTTAGGAGATCAAGAAATTTGTTGGCTTACTAAACTTTTTAATATTATTTTGAAGACTAAAAGATGCCAGGTGAGTATAGAAGGAGTATGTTGGTTCCTATTTTTAAAATTAAAGGTGATGCATAAGAGTGTACGAATTATAGAGGAATTAAGTTAATGCTATACATTAAAATTATGAGAGAAATTAATTGAGTATAGGTTACAATGTGATATTAATGTTTCTTAAAATTTGTTTGGATTCATGTCAGGTAGGTCTACTATTGAAGCCATATATTTGTAGAGATGTTTGATGAAGAAGTATAGACAGAATAAGAAGGATCTACATATGATATTTATTGATTTAGAGAAAGCATATGATAAAGTTCTAAGAGAAGTGCATTGGAGGGTTCTAGAGAATTAAAGTGTTAATAATGCTTATATTCAAGTCATTGAGGAGATGCATATATGAGCTATCATTTGCGTTCAAACACAAGATAGCTTGATCAAGTATTTTACTTTTTAAGTTGGATTATATTAAGGATAAGCTTTAAGCCCATATCTTTTTACTTAAGTCATGGATGTTCTTACTAGACATTTAAAAGAGGATGTATCATAATGTATGCTTTTTGCTAGTGATATTCTTGTTGTTGATGATATTAGTTTGGGAGTTAATGAAAAACTTGAATTATTGAGGTCAACCTTAGAGTCTAAATGTTTTCTTCTAAGTAGATCTAAAATCGAATACCTTGAGTGTAATTTTAGTAGTGATAAATTTAGTTGTGGGATTGTGAAATTGGGTGATCAAATCATTAAAAAGAGTAAATGTTTTAGATATCTTGGGTCTATTGTTCAAAGCGATGGTGAAAGAGATGGAAATATTATTAATAGAATTTAAGTTGGATGATTGAAGTGGAGGAATGCGTCGGGCCTATTGTTTGATAGAAAATTACCCTGCAAATTTAAGGGGAAATTTTTTAAGATGGTGGTGAGACCTACAATGCGTTATGGTGCATAATATTGGCCATTAAAAGAGAAGGATAAAATTGAGTTGAGTATCGTAGAGATGAGAATGCTAAGGTGGATGCGTGCCTTTGCCACTTAGAGACAGATTGCGAAAGGAGTATATGGGTGAAAATATTGAAGTAGCTCCAATGGCAGATAAGATTAAAGATAGTCGTCTTAGATGTTTTGGTGACTTAAAAATGTTGGCCTTCTAATGGCCTTGTTAAGAGAGTAGATGGAGTAGATGTATTAGATTCGGCCTATGTTAAGAAAGGTAGAGGTAGACCTAAAAAGTCTTGATTATAAAGTACTAAAAATGACATTTTTATTAGATTTAAATGAGAATTTGACTTAATAGGACAAAATGGAGAAAAAAAGATTCATGTAGCCATGGGATAAATGCTTGTACCATATATATATGTATAAATATAATTTTTCCACACATATTGTGATGTAGACTTTCCAAGGAGTAAGAATCTCTGCAAAATATGGGGACACAATAAGCTAAGAGGAGAGTAAATTTTGTTGGTAAATACAATAAAGGGTATGTTAATGATGTGAGATTGTGGAAAAGATTATCAACACAAACAAATATGCTTTTAAAGAATGAAAAATTGGAGTATTATTAAGATGTACAATAATTATAAGTAAGAATATTGATATAGGGGATAAGTAAAAGCACAGTCAGAGTTACATTGTATGATTTACATACTTGATGATATAGTTAGAAGGAGAAAATAAGATATATAGAATAACCAAGTCCAAAGAAAATAGATATATGGATTTTGATCTTTTTTTTTTTTACTGTGAAGATAATATGATTCGAGTTTAAAATAATGACTTCAAAGAAAGATGAAAAAAGTGATTTTAACACATAATTAGGTGAAAGTACTATGAATATTTTCTTATAGAGGAGAGCAAATGAGCATACTCATGAAGTACACCATGGGTTTCTACCCCCCCACCAAAAAAAAAAAAGTTTAGCTTGAGAGGATGCATAAGGCATAAAGGTTAAATTTTAGATTCAAATGAGATACCCTGTAAGATTTGATGAGTTAAGAGATGTTGGTGTAATTTGATTACAATTTTTTGGGGTGAAATCATAGCTACTTGAAGGATCCAAGTTATTCGAGAAAAACATATTGATAGTGGTTTACAAGAGCAAAGGAGACGTCTAAGATTGTAATAATTTTAATGGTGTAAAATTAATGAGCAATTTAGTGAAGATATTAAATAGATTAATAAAACATTGGCTTAGGAAATCACATTGCTATCTGATAATCTATTTAGTGTTATTTATTATTTTTTCTAACATAGTTAATGAATAAGTATACAGAGAAAGATAAAAGACTAATATAGTTAATATTGATATTTATAAGGTATATGATCAAGTAGCATGAGAAGTGGTTTGGTTGGCATTAAGTGAGAAGATTTGTGTTAAATATATGCTAACGTTATTTATAGTATGTTTAATGGGACAATTTTTTTACTTTAGAAGTACTTGTGGATTGGCCATAGAGTTTCTAATCACAGTTGGTTTAATAAACACTCAATATTTGGTATGTCCATTTTTTTATTTGTTATGTGGATGTTTATAACAGACTTTTAAAATGAGGTAGCATGGTACATACTGTTCAAGAATGATTTGATATGATCTTGATAGTTGAGGCCTTTTTTAAAGAAGTAAGAAGTTATAAAAAATGGAAAACAAGTTATAAAAGATGAGGGAATTAGGATTTGGTACACTAAAGATGAAGTGTGTGTGTGTGGTGTGTGTATATATATATATATATATATATATATTATATATTATATATATCAATGAATTTATAATAAAAATTATGGTCCAATATTGGTGGAAGATCATGTGATAACTAAGTTTTGTAGGTTTAAGTATCCTTCATTTATTGTTCAAGAGAATTAGGATCTAGTTGACTACACATATTTGAGAGAAAATTGGTAGTTAAAGGTAAAAGTTTCTTAGTAATACTTTGCGGTATGGGAGTATCAAAGTAAAGAAAATATCATGATGACTTAAAAAAATTGATTGCATAAAATAATAACTAGACCACCTATCCATGCGGCTTTGAGGTTGCTTAATTGAGAAGCCAATAATATTCAATCGAGTGCCATGGAGTAGAGAACCTTTAGTTAAATATGCGTTAAAACTAGAAATGATAGTGAAAGAAATATAATAAGGAGATGATGTGATTAATATTTGTTGAAGATAAAATAGTTAAAATTAGATTTAGATGGTTTACCCATCTATAATAGAGGGTGCATAGGTAATAAGTGTATTAATAATTTATGTGGATAAAAAATAATATTGAAGGAATTTAAATAAAAGTAGATTGACAAATGTAACGGGGATAGCAGAAGTGTGGAAAATGTCATTCTAATGATGTTAATACTGCATAGGAAGGAATTGAGAAAGAGGATTCATCATGCTAGGCCAAAATAGGTGGGATAAGGGTAATTATGATGAAGATTTGCAGCATGATGTGAAGGTAAAAAAACCACATAAAAACAACATATTGGTAATATTCCTTCTAGATCCAATAAATCAGAAGCTACTATATCTCACATGTTAACAGTCAAATTAATTGAAATGTAAGATATAGACACAAGAATCCTTTAGAAGTATCTATGCTTCATATTTTGTAGCTTACTAATTTGTCTTCTTTAGTTCACGATATGCTGAAGTTTTAATTTTGTCTACGAAATTAATGTTTACTTTTCATGGATTAGACAAACTTGGCTTTAAAATTTTAGTTGATTATGGTGTAGGCAGTGTAAATTGATAGAAAATCACCTGAACACTGGTTAAATAGTATGATAAACTTAGCACAGATTGATCAATGTAGCCCAATTTTGTGTTGTGCATTTATCTGTATTTTCTCTAATCAACTCTTTTGTTGAAATTTCTTTTCCGTTGAGCTTTCCTTGTTAGCTAGGTTTATAACTTATATGATTAGGCTTTTAGGGAACTCCCTGTCCATTAGATTTTCATTATTTAGTAGGGCCTGTAACTTTCTTGGTTAACGATATTAAGAAAATAGCTTTTGAAAATCTGGCTTACGTCTCGTTCTAACTTAGTATATTTTACATCTCTTTTGCTAATGTGACATGTTTCTCCCTGAGCTATATTCCTCATCTCCTTCCCTTCTCTTCTAGACTAGAACATTCTGCTGCAAACCTTGCCGATTCTATTCAAAATGGTGAGCTGCCAGGAAAAGCTACTTCCCTTGCACCATCCATATTTGAGGTATACTTTTTTCTTAGATTACTTTCCCATCAAATTCCACAAGCTGACATTTAACGGCATTCTCCTTTTTTCAGACTGGAAAGTCTTTCACTGCCAGGGGAATTGAAGTGCTTGAAAGAGTAGGCAAAGAGACCATAGAGCTTCTTATAGCAGAAACTGGCCTTGAAGTTGAGAAGAGTTCTAATAAAGCTGATCAACATGTTGATGAAGAACCATTTGAAGAAGTTACATTTGACAGATGCTTTTATATTTATGGGGGTCCTGATCTCCTTGAGGTATTGTCCATCTTTTGAAAAAGGATTAGGCATATTCCAATACCTTATCATTGTGTATCGCTAAGATTTGCATCTCTTTTTTAATCTAGGAGCTGGAAGCTCTGTCAAGCCATTATGCATTGTTGTTTAATAGGAGAAAGGCAAAGTTAGCTTATGAACAGAAGTCCTTCTATGATGGAAAGTTGAAGCAGATCCTACAAGTTTTTAGCTTGGGTTCAGATCCTGAAGAAAGTGGATTGGTCCTGGATAAAGGAAAGAATGTTGTTACTATAAATGAAGCAGGCCGTTTTGAGATGAAAAACCTGCGGGACTCTAGTGTAAGCAAGGCTGCTGATATGGCTGCAGGGTAAAAATCTTAAACTCCTGAAAAATTACTTTTCAAAAGCAGATAATTAGTTAAATTCATTTAGCTGTAAAATTCAATACTGTCAAGTAGCAAAGTGATTAAGCTTTGCTTCGGTTTTGATGCATGTTGTGCACTTGATTCTATTATTGATATCGTTGCAAAGTTACCAGGATGATGAACTCGGATTCCCTGTTTTTGTTAAAGAAGAATCAGAGACGCAAGAAAATAAACTGTAGTGCTATTTAAATACAGAAGAATCACGCACTAACCTTATGCTTAGTTCTTAGTTATTCCCGAAAGAAATTAAGAATTCTCTTAGCAGCCCCATTTTCACCATTCTTTGATGTATATTTGGGGCTCCACTGATTCGTGGTGATGTGATTTTAGGTGAAATCTATAGGCTGCTCATCCCCTATTCTGGGTTGTGCATGGTGTGGTGGAGCAAGTGATAGTTTGTATAATTTGACCACCAAAGTTGCTTAAAAAATTGTTTAGTGTAATATACGATGTATAAAATTTGCTTTGGCATGCGGTTACACACGATATTAGAAGGATAATTTAAAATAACAACAAGTTTATATTAAAGCTAGATGCATAAATAACAGAAATCCATCGTTTAACAAATAGAAAGTTCACCTCCAGTTTCCCTTACTTTCACTCTTGATAGTGGGGTTAGTGGGAGAATAATTTCAACAAACTTAAAGATGCCACCAAAAGAAAGAGGACACTTATAGCATTGCCTAATGAAAATTTTGTTGGAGGGGAAGGAGTCGGTGGATATTGAATAACTCACCACTGTTCGGAGATTTGGTGCTCGTCGATGGCGTTCGTCAAAGTGAAGAGGATCCAAGTTGAGGTCGAAGAAGGATGATCTCAACATGTCTACTTGTCCTTGATGATTGTATATGAATCCTTGGTCTCTTTCAAGATCGGCAATTCATGGGGAGAAGGCCGGGTTGTGTAGCTTCTTCCTTTGGGTGTATGAAATAAGGGAGAAGAGAAGAAGAGGGGATGTTTGGAAAGGTCGGTCATGGGTAGGAGAAGTGGCTCCTTTAAATTTAGCTTTTGGTTTATGTGGGTGGACAGGCAATAAATTAAAATCTAAATTTTAATTTTAGATTTTGAATGGAAAGGGAGGGAATAATTTTGAAATTCAAATCTTCCTTAATTGGGGAGTACGTGGGCAACCAATACTTGAAGAAAGGGTGTTGATTGATAGCATTAATAGAGAGAATTAATTAGGAGAGCGGGGAGAGAGGGGGCCTTCCAAAAGAAAAGGGAAGGAGGGTTGTCCACATTCAATGAATGTGTTTAGATACAATGAATGTTGAAATTGGAATTAATTCCAATTTAATTTCAGATTGGGAGTGATTTGGGGGGTTTCCTAAAATAGATTTACTAATTAGGAAAGGTTTTGAATTTCAAATATCATTTGAATTCAAATTAATAGACTTTCCCAATTAATAATAAGATATATTAAGAAGGTGTTTAAGAGGCCAATTGAATTTGAAACTAGGGCTTGGAGGAGGGGCCGGCGGCTTAGGCTTGGGTTTGGTAGGCCGGTGACTTGAGGAGGAGCCGCACTTAGGTTCGATGGAGGGAGGGGATGGTGGTGAGGCTAGGGGCCGTATAGTTGGGTGGGTATGGGAGGAGGGGCCGGCAGCTTGAGGTGGAGAGGGGAAGGAGGCCGGTGGGTATGGATTGAGGGGAGAGGGGTGGCCGGATTTTAGGGGGATTGGTGTGGGTGGCCGGTGGTATGGGTTGAAGGAAAGGGGGGGGGGATAAGAACAGATACAAACCACGAGCCCGGAATCCACCGACGGCTAACGGGAATTCCTTGGCCCTCTCTTAGGGTTTTCTCTAGTCTCAAGAACTCACAATCAAGAGAAGTAACAAGTGCTGAAATTTTATTCATCAAACATCATCTCATACAATAGTGAGGGCCCTCATATATAGGCCTCAAAATAAAAGAAAACGCAAAAACTTAGGCTACAACATAAACTAATCCTTCTTGGGGGTACAATGATAAACCATAATATAAATAAACAAATACATAAATGCATCATAAATAAAGACTCCGAATCGTAGCCTTTAATCTAAGATTCCTCCAATGATAGATGCCGAAATCTTCTGCTGATGTCCTCATCAGTTTGCCAACAATAGAAAATGAGAGTGATCTAGCAAGCTTAGTTATCTTATCATCAGAGAAATGAATCTGGGCTTGTCTTGAAATATAGATGTTGCTTAAGTTGAGGTGCATTATACGATGATATGAAAGTAAAAGGATGATAGTCCGATAGGGTGTCATTAGAACATGTAACAATGATGGTGGTCGAATTGGGGGAACCACTAACTGCTTCAGAAGGAGAAGATTGAGAAGGAATTGGGATCAAAGGGAAAGGAAAGCTGACCTATGTTGGTAAATTGAGGTAAGGACACTAGCAATAAAAATCTTGAATGAGGAAACATAAAGGAAAACTAGAGAGGAATCAATGATTTGTAAGAGAAGAGCACAAAGCCACAACGCTAGACAACTCTATAACAAGCATCAGAAGCAAGTGCGACAACCGTTACGACACAATAGAGGTGCAATCGTGCCTAGCTTACGAGCAAGAGATGAGACAAGAAAGCCTGAAGGAGAGGAGGGCACACAAGCTTGTGTGTGCCGATTGCATGAGGGAGTCAATTGATCTAATGAACAAGTAAGACATATGTGGATACCCTCATGCACACTAGCGTTGGGTCTAGTTTAGCACATGTATGAGTTTTTAGCTAGGTTCATTTGTGAATCTATTATCTGTACTAGTATTTAAAAAGTGCATGCGATTCTACCAATCTAGTATTTTAGGCCTTCATTTTTAAAAAAATAATCTCAACGATTGATGTATTCTAGCATATAGCTGAATGGTAAGGGTTGTTGATGCGGACATCAGCACGAAGATTTGGCGCAATCACAGGAGGTGTTGTAAATCGACGGCTCTAATTTAAATTGTCATTTATGAGTTATTTTATGAATTTTAGCTCTTATTTTATGTTATTTCCTGTTTTACCCTTAGGTTAGTTTATTTGAGTGTTGTGGCCCAAGGGGCAATTTTGTAATTTTTGATTTTATCATGTTGTGACCTATATATAGGGCCTTAAGCTATTGTAATAGGATGAAGATTTGATATTAAAAAATTTGTGTCCACACTTATGTTCTTTTTGAGAGAGGACGAGAGTGAGATTCCTATGGGAAGGAATCGGAGTTGTCACCAGCCGCAGGATGGGTCCGGACTCGTGATTTGAAGTCCCTTGGAGAAGGGCAAAGCATCACCCGTTAGTTTAAGAAGAATCCGAAGCTCACGGTTTTTATTTTCTCTCTTTCGTTTTATCTTCTATCTTTCTTTGTTTTTGTTTTGTTTCCCTCTTTTGTTCATAGCCATCGTCTTTCTTCCTCCTCCCCTCTCAACCCCTCGGCCAAACCACCATACCAAGCTCCACAAATTTTTCCCCATAGCCGCCAGCCACCTTCACCCGATCCCACCCTCTTGGCCGCCGACCACCTTCCCCCATTAGCTCCACCGCCGGCCACTCTTGTTTGTCTCCATGAATGAGGAGTCAATGTCACCTTAATGCTTGTCTAAAGAGTTCAAATAATTTAGGAAATTATTTTCATCCTTTGAAATTCGAATTTTGAATTTCAAATAGTTTCCTAAATTAGAAAGATATTTTAGGAAAGTATCGAATCTCATTCATGATGTAATTCAAACTTAATTTGGGTGATTTAATTTTGGGCGGTTTTCAAATTTTCAAATTCCACTAATTTGAAATTTGAATTCTTTCCTAATTTATCATTCTATTTTTGGAAAGTTTTAAATGACTTCTGTTTGAATTTCAAATTCAAATAGGATTGAATTTATTCCATCACTTTCCTAACTCATTAAACCAAATTATGAAGCCTTGAATACTCCCATTAAATCCCTTCCCCTCACCATGCCGCCGGCCCCTGTGGTGGTCCCCTCTCCTTTAATGTTTCATTAAAGGATTTGATTGCATGTTATTTGAATTTCACATTCAAAATTCAAATTGGCATTATTAGTTAAATGCCATGAATGCCAATTAATTTCAGCCTAGCCGAAATTTCCCCTTAACACAATTTCTTAAATTGTTTCCTAACTCTAAATCCTTCCTTTGGAAATAATGGCAGTTTATGTAACTCTTACCTGGCTGGAATTTTCATTCATATATTGACTTTAAAGTATTTCCTAATACTAAAGCTTGGCTTTAGGCAATAAATTTAAATCCTCCCAATCCCACCCAGCCGAAAATTTATCACTCCCATATCTCTTCAATCAAGTTACTTAAATCTAGTAATTTGTTATGAGAAAACGTGAGCTCACCCCCTCATGCATCCACTTCTTTAAATCTTTCCAAAACCTCCTATTTTATGTTGGAATTGAGCCCGCCTCTTTATTTCTCTGCTGGCCGAAACTTCCCAAGGCTGGTATATTAATTTCCTGCTACAATTCCTCCCCAAAATCCACCCAACATTGAGCCCTCTTCTTCCTAAAACTGTAGCCTGAAGTTTCAGCCGTTGCCCATGCAAACCCAGCCATTGCAAGCCTCACAACTGCTGTTTGGAAGATCAAAACTGCAGTCCCTGCTGCCAAAGCTGCTGTCCAGAGATCCCCACAGCAGTTTGTTGCTGTCCAGCCCCTCTGGGAGCGACCGTGGCTGCCTGGAACAGTAATCCTCCTACCTGTTCTACATCAGTTGTATATAATTCTAAGATTTAGAATTTAACATATAATGCCGTTTTTATGAATTTATTTTAAGTTAGCTATGCATATATGAAATATGCATAAATTCATGAAAAATCTAAGAGTTAGTACTACATTTGAACTATTGAACTTTAGATAATTTTATCATAATTTCTTTTTTGGAGTTGTATTATTTCTAGAAATTTTCTCGGTGTATATATATACCCATGAGATCATTTTGGAATGATATGCCAAGCCGTTTGAGTGTAAAAACTCCTCAAAATGCAATTTTTGTTTCCTTAATTTTTTAGTCATCTATTTCCCTTAACTTCTGTCACATTTCACTTAAATTCTTTTTATTTTTCAGTAAGTTTGCAACCAAAATCAAATTTTATTTAAATCAAAAAATTATTTTATATTCAAATTATTTAAATTTAAATGTTATTTTTCCCTCTGATTACCCAGTTTTAAACTTTTGAATGTGGTATAGTCGATTTTTAGATGTAGTGGTTCATTCGTAGCAATGATGGCAAGCAAATGCGATAGGTGAATGCTCACTGGAACAGTTCAACTGTTCATTTTTAATAATTATTTGAAAAAAGAATTTATATTTGTTGTCTAACAAATTTTATTTTTATTAGTTGATGAGAAAATATTATATTTTAAAGTTAAATCATCGATTATCTTAACAATATATGATTAATGCTATCTGATTTCAACTATCGTATATTTGAACTTCTTAAAGCTATCATCTATTATCTTGAAACTATCTTAGTTTAATTTTTTATGACAAAATTAAAATTTACTATTTATTTTAATACAATTATAATGTTTGAAATTTTAAAGAGCCTTCGTTTACTCAGAGAAAAACTTTGATTGTTTTTATTGCTTTGAATTGTTTAAAATATTTGTGGATGTATATTTCTATTTGACATTGCCAACAAAGCTATTTGTTTATCAAAAACATGTACCCATCAAATTGAATATCAAAACTTACTTAAAATTGAATGTCTGGGCTCGAAATTGGGCCTTATGTCTAATGATATAGCAAAAAAAGTATGACTGACTTAGATGCTCGTATAAATGTATCGAGTGGATGTATGAATATGATGTTAAGAAACGTGACTTAGAAAAATGAAGTGAAATTTTATTTTTTTACTTGACTTGAAATTAGTGAACTATTCTTCATTTATATTCCCATCGGACCAATCTAATCACAATGGGCAATTATTTTTTTTACAATTTCCTTTTCTTTTTTCAAAAATTTATAAAAGTTAAATTCAGTTAAAAAAAGGTTTAGCAAAATACATACTTTTTATGTCTTCCATCTTGCTAGCAACCCTTTAATATTGTGGATTTTAAAATAATTTTTTTGTAGAACATTTTTAAAATTTTCGATCAAATGATAGTTTATATATATATATATATATATATATATAGAAAATACTTTTATATTTCATTGTGTAAGCATATAGATTTAATGCATCAAAATTAAGAAAAATAATTTAAATTATCAAAATCCATCACAAAAGACCAATATCTACCTATGATTTAACAACGTTTTTTTTTTATGTAATTTATGTTATCATCTAGCTTTTCTCAAATGATATTTACTACGATGAATTTCTTTTTTATTTGAAATCATTTAAAAGAACTTAAAAAAATATTAAATAAATTTTTTTAAAGGATTGTGGGACTCGCAAGGTAACCAATTTTGGTAAGTTTCTTGAGCATACAGATTAAAGGTTCTAACCATTATATCAATCATTTTATGACTTTTAAATTATAATCCGTGTGCCTCCTATTCCTATTCTAGCAACCGACCCCTCTTGGAGACTTTTTTTTTTTGTTTTGGTAAATAGATCTAATTTATTTCCATGTTAAGTTTTTTGGAGATGTTTATAAATGGTTTTATGCTTTGTATAGAATCAAGTAATAAAATTCAAAGAAAATTTCTTTTTTTTTTTACAAAATTACTGATTTTTATGTGTATGTGTGTATATATATATATACATAAATTCAAAATTGAAGCTTTTAATACAAGTGAGATTACCTGGTATATTTTCTCTCCTTTGGCTATCTTTCAATCTCTTAACGCATTTTCTCTATCTTCCCTTTTCTCTTTCCACCTTTCTTTCTAACAAGAAAAAAGACCTTATTGAACTAAAATTTGTTAATTTAAACTTATTATAAATGATATGAAACCCACTAATTCCTATTTTGAAACTGTTGAGATGCAGGGGATACCAAAATAATAAACAACCCTAAGGTTGATTAGTATTCCAGAGTTCCCATCCAGATAGAGAATAAGACTTAGTAATGATTCCAAAATCAGTTAAAAAAAGTTTAAAATAACAAATTAGATGAAAAGCAAAGTAATAAAAGCTAAAAAGAAAATTACATTTTAACAATAAAATCCAACCATCACTTAAGAATATCTTTGATAGATAATCCATAAGCTTGTTCCAATCTCCAAAGTCAGATTTCCAAGATAGCATTAAATCAAACATTTTGATAATTTGCTCCATCTCCAAGTATGTTGATAGGAAATACTTGGGTTCGCAAGTAAACCTAACCGAAATCAATACCAAAACAAGAGAAAACAGCTGTTTTCAGCAGAAAAACAACAAATCGCAGCAGTTTTAGTGGAGAAAACTCAAGGAAAATGGAGAAAAACAATATATTTCACTAGTAGATTCGAGAACACAAACAAAGATACAATTTCCTTCAATCCGAGAGGAAGGAATGACTCTCCAAATCTCTAGCCGTAGCTTAGAGCCCAAGAACACAAACCCTAGATCTCCCAACAAAATTCAAATGCAAGATAATCCCCCCTTTTCCTCCTAACCTCCTAATTAACCATAAAGGAGTTTTACAAAATGTCTAAACAGCCCCTCACATTCAAAATTTCCCTCCCAAAATTCTTCCCTGGCCCCCGTCGACTTTGCTCCCTCCGCTCGGTTCCGCCTGTTGGCTGCGGTTCCGTCGCGAGAAGACCCGGACCGGTCCGGGTTGGACCGGTCCAGCCGGCCCCTCCTGGGCCGGCGTAACATATGTCTCCACTATGTAGTTATCATCGGGATAATTTTCTTGCATTTTATTGAGATAGTAGAGAAGAAGAACCTCTCAAGCCGTTCTTCACTTTGACAGTCTATATTGTTGAAAAGAGGGTGGCCTGCTAATCCCTACTGTGGTTGCTTCATTGTCTTTTCAAGCATAGAACACCTGTTATTTTCCTGTACCTTATGAGATGTACTTAAACTTTTCCATTGCTCTCAGATTTTCTTGCATTGCTTAATTGAAGCTTTTGTTTGATTGGGTAAAGCGCAAACAATAATTGTTGATGGGAGATGATTATATAATTGTCCAACTTATTAAACTTATTGTTTCTTTGGTTGCATGAAATTAGCTGATTCCTTACAGCTATTAATTCGAGCACATGCATGAATGGATTGCTGAATGCCTCCTAAAACATGCTTTATATTATGATCAACCACATAGATAAAGAGCATAATCCACACCTAACATGTGCAGCATAAGATGCTTACTGGCCATTTCCTACGGCTAAGTTTATTAATTACTTCATCTTGTTTGATATTCTTAAATGATAGCATTTGTAACTATTTAAGACGATTTAGTGTATCTATTAATAACATAAATTCTTCAACAGCCACTTCACTTTTCTTACAGGGTTTGATTAGTATTGGATTACTAGCATTAGATCTTTGCTCTAAAGGGGATGAGCACTTCCTCTGATGTGATTGCTTCCAGGCATATATGCATGATATGGTAAAACTAAGTAACAGATGAACATCAGAAGAGAAAGCATTATGAAAGTAGACAAACATTAGGAAGACGATGAAAGGATTTAATATTTTCTATTTAGGCTTTTAAAATAATTTCGCTTACCCTCTCCAAGTGATACGAAAAGTTGTTATATTTTTCTCTTAGTTTACCCACATCCAAGCAATAAAAAATATCTTAGCGCCTATATCTCCCCAAACCTTGTATATACTCATAGGGTGGAATTGCACATTATACTCATTTTGATGAATAAATAGTATCTCAGGGATGCAAAATCGGTCTTCTATTTGTGCATTCCTACGCTGGGTGGAATTGGTAATGTGGGCTTGCCCCTTACTCTTCAATATACTTTGCACAACTTACCATAACTTTAAACCTTTGTTTGTCCAAATAGTTCTAGTGAAGTTTATATTTAGAAAATAAATACTTTCGTTAAATTAGAGAAGCCTCTGAACGCTTTCGTTTATTAAAAGTTCTTAATGCGTGGCTGATATATATAAATGACCTTGTGAAATGGAAGCTTGAAGTAAGCATAAAAGAGAGAGAAAATGCTTTTAGAGTAAAAACACATACAGGAGAAAAAAAGGTTGAAGATAATTGAAGCAAGACTCTAAGTCGGTAAAAATACCAAGGGATGATTAGTTTGTTGGGCTGGCAAACAATACTTTAGCGACCTATTCACAGTCCTTTAATAAGACAATTAATTTTTACAATCATAGCATGCTTTTTCATTTGTCTAAATCATGCTATTTTCTAAGCTATTTATGCTCGGTTCATTATGGAATGGTTCAATTTTCATGTCAAGTTTATGCAATTAAAATTCTACCAGGGAAGTTAATTAGTACCCGTTACAAATCTTCATAGTTTGTTAATAAATACTAAAGGAGTTTTAGTTAATCGCAATCCTCTGCATTTGGAAAGAAATTTCTAATGGACTTTCAGCATATTTTGTGAGCTAAAGATGGTATTCTGATTGACATAGTCGCCAATTGGAAATAGTACCTGAAAAAAGAAAACAAGAAAAAAAGAAGAGCCAAACTTTTGGGTTAATGTAGGTCTGAATATCTAACTCCGGCTTGAACATAATTGCAGATTTATCTTGACCCACATGCTTATGGTAAAAATTCAACCGGTTTCCTCTCTTTGTATTATGGTGATGCTTCTCATGTCAGCAGTAATTAAAGATCCAAATGACATAAACACTTTCTATATTCAAATATGATTTTTAATTTTAGCAAGCCGTGTAAATTTTAGTTGAAGTTTCAATATGCTGCAATATTTTTTGGTTAAAATTTGATTAAACTTCATAGTTTGACTGAGTTTTTGGAGGCTATAACCACAATCTTGCAGCATTTTTTTTTTGGGGATCTTGATTGTGACACGCTTGCAGGTTTACCTCTGCGCTAGGTGGCATCGCTGCTGTTGAGATGATTCAGAGAACCATGGATAGGCTTGAGATGGTTCACTCAGAGGGTGTTCATGTAAGCATATATAGTGAATACATCTTTTTCTCCTAGACAACCGACCTGATTACGCAGACACTGAGGGTAAAAATAATAAAAAAAGACAAAAAGTTCACCGTTAAATTTTTTTCTTGCGTTTCCTATTAAACATCCGCCATCAAGCAAAAACAAACTGAAGTAAAAGTCTAAGTGATGTATTGTGTGTTTTATATAGGATTCATGCTCTTATTTAAATTGTTTTTTGCAGAGGCTATCTGAGTTTTGTTGCTTTGGGCTATCACATCTTCTATTGCTCGGCAAGTCTGTCATATCTAGTGCAAGCAAATCAAATTCTGAAGGAGCCGAAGATGATAACATAAAAATTGACTGGCCCGAAGATTCTGTTTTAAAATCCCAGATAATTAGATCCAATGCCCAATTAATGTCCGAAGACGTTCAATCCATTTCTAACAGTTTTCTCACCGGTACGTTTCCTGTACTCGGCACCTTGGCACCTTTGATTTAGTGTTTTCTTTTTTACCCCTTTGTATTGCATTTTATTTAAGAATTCAGTTTCATTTGCAATTTGCTAGCTGTCTCTTTAACTTGATACAGGGATGCCCATCGACAGATTTAGTATTTCCCAATCTTTTGCATGATATTCTAATTAAATGTATTGAGTGTGAATATAATAGGGTCTTGTTTTGATTTATAAAGTAAAAGTAGGAAGAAATTTTTCATAAAAGCAAATAAACAACAATTTTGAAGTGTACCAAACATTGATCTAAAAAAGTAAAGTTGAATTATGTTTGAAGAGGATACATAAAATTAATTGCCTAGGTCCAAATGAAATATTTATAAAGATTAAGTAGATAGACTAATGTTGAAAGATCGTAGGAGCCACAAGTCAACCAGTTTTGATAGGGATTCTTAAGCACACAAATTGAAGGTTCTAACTATTATATCAATCCTCTTAGGACTCTTAAATTGCAATCATTGTGACTCCTCTTTCTATTTTAGTTGTTGACCTCTATTTGGGACTTTTTTTTTTAAACAACTTTGAGTTATTTCTATTGTTAGATTCTTTTAGAAGTGTATATATATATATACACTTCTATACTTTGTGCAGAATTAAGCAAAAAATTTTAAATTAGTTTTTTCTACCCATCTATTTGTTTATATGGCATCATGCAAGGTTAGGGTTTTTGAATTTCAACATTTTTTCTTTTTTTCTATCCTCTCTTGTTGTGATTTTCCCTCTCTTCATTATGATTGATTTCTTTGATCTCTCTTTCGAGCATCAAACATCATGAATGGTGAAAATCAGATTAAATGAAAACTTCAAGGGCTACAAGCCTCATGTTACCTAAATGGGAGAAATTATTTAAAATGGTCCTAAATTATGCAAACCTGTATAAAAGGATAGGGAAATATCCATGATCTTAGAGATCCTCCTTCGAAGCCAAAACATCCAAAATATGCACTTTAGAATGAAGTGAATTCCATGATCATAACATGATCATGGAATATCATGATGCCTAAAATCAGTGGGTCATATATGTTTATTTCTACTGCAAAAGAAATTTGGAACGTCATTAAATAATCGTACTTAAAAGGATGCTGCTCTTGTCTATAAGATCAAACCTAAGATTTCAACAACTGAGCAAGTTAGCCTTAATGTTTTTTAGTACTTTAATGCTATGAAGATTTATTGACTTGAACTAGGTTATTATTAAGATCTCAAGATGATATGATGAGATGATACGGTAATTCTTAAATAATTTGTAGAAATAGAAAGGGTATTTGAGTTCCTTATAGGACTCAATAATGACTTCTACTAAGTTCTTGTCCAAATATTAAGTAGAGAAAAATTACCATTATTAAATGAGATTTTTTCTCATACAAGATGAAGGAAGAAGAATGGTAATGCTCAATGTTTCAAGTCTCAGAAACATTCCATGACAAGCACCAAACTCCAAGATAAGGGACTTATTCCTATAGGTTTTTTTTTAAAGAAGGGCAAAAGTCTTGTTTCAAAAGCAATCTATAGTGCAACTAATACAAGAAGAAAAGGCATATAAAAAAATCTTGGAAACTACTCGAAAATCCTTTAGGTTATGGTGGATATAAAGAAGGTCACAAAAATTACAAGCCTGCCTTGTTGAATTAGAAGGGCTTATTTTAGAAGAAATTGATAAACTAAAGAGCTTCCTCAACTCTATAAAAAAACTATTTGGATCAGGTTCTCTTGCTCAAAATTGTATGACCTCTAACTCTTACTTTTTCAGTGCCTGAAATAATTCCCCTCACATCCGGATCCTAAATTCAGGAGCCACTAACAACATGATCAATCTCGCACACCTCTTTCTAACCTACAAACCTTGTCCCAACAATCGAAAACAAAAGCCTTTAATGATTTTCTAAAGACTATTGCAGGTCAAGGAAATATTTAATTTCCTCCACTATTACTTTCATTAATTTCATTAATGTACTTTATATTTCTCATCTTGTAGTAAATCTTCTATCAATTTATAAAATCATTAATAAAGATCACAACCTTAAGCTAATTTTTTAGCTAATCATGTATATTCCAAGATCCATTACAGGAAGATGATTGGGCTAGAGAAAAGGATATACTATATCTTTTTAAAGGTGAAATTTATTTATATTTATTCATTTTTATTCTTAATACATAGGCCATTTAGAAATATCATTATAGGCTAGGGCATCCCTCTTTCAAAACCTTATAATATATATTTTCTTATCTTTTTTGGAATATAAATATAATTTTTTTTTATTATGCGACTTGTGAAATTGCAAAACATCATCATGTTATTTAAAATAAAATAATTATAGATTCTCTATTCCTTTTCTAATTGTTTTGTTTGGCATTTGGGGACCTTTCATAATCCCCAATATTTCTGGAGTTATAGGATGTCACATTCATTAATGATTGCACTCATATGACATTGATATAACTTATTAAATAAAAATGTGATGTCAAAGTTACTTTTCTTATTCTTATTTCCATGATATAAAAATAATTTAATGCTAACATTAAAATATTTTGAAATGATGATGCCGGTATTTCCTTAATCACATATTATCATTTTTTTTTCTAAAAAGAAGATATCGTTCACCAAATCTCTTGTTCTGACATTCTCTAAAAAAATGAATTGGGAAATAAAAAATCGCTCTTTTGAAAATTATATGGACTCTTCTACTCTTTAATTAAAAATCATTCTCTTTTGAATACCCTCAAGAGTGATTGACTTCAAAAATCCTAGAAATTATCTACCTAACTCATTCCCACGAATAAATTTCTCTGAAAATTTTTTCCAAAATTTGTAGGTATATTGTCTCTATGGACATCCATAAATAACATATTGGTAAATTTGATCCAAGAGCTCTTAAATTTGTATTAATTAGGTATTCTCTTGCTTAGAATTGATATAGGTATATCTTTCTATCACAAAAAAATTGCTTACCTTAAAAGATAATCACCTTTAATGAGAAGCAAAATTTTTCAATCAAGCTCATTTTAAGGGGAGAATTCTTAACTGGAAAATTAGTTTGATGAATATCTATTTTTTATCTTGACATATCTAGAATTTAATTTATAAAAAATTTAGACATTGTACCCTTTTAAGTATATATAAGAAAGAAAAACCTTGCCTAAAAATCTCTAGTAAACTCAAGATTCTAAACTATTATCTTTTAATAATGATAAACTAATCACTATACATTCTCCGATGCTTTCCATCTTCTATTATATATCTTTTCAAAACTTTTCTCCTGCCCATAAAACATTACTTATACGTATCAACTCTAAATTCATTACAATACCATAAATTTATTTTAGACATTTGATAATAAGATATGGAATGATGCCATAATATCTTTTCAAAGTTTTTGTCTTGCTCATAAATTATTCCTTATAAATATAAGCTCTAATTTCTTTACAATATCACAAATTTTATTTGAGACACCTGAAGATAAGATATGGGAGGATGCCTTAAGAGAAGAGATGAATTCTCTGGAAAAAAAATCACACTTGTAAGATTGTTGAACTATCAAAGGAGAAGAAAATGGTGGCTTGCAAATGAATTTTTTCTAAACAATATAGAACAAATGGAAGCTTAGAACTATATAAAGTAATATTAGTAGCTAAAGGATATACTCAATCCTATGGAATTGACTGCCAAGAAATTTTTGCTCATTTTGTGAAAATGAATATAATATATATCTTATTTTCTATTGCACCCAATTGTAGATGATCCATGCAATAATATGATGTAAATAATGTTTTCCTATATGAGGATGTTATAAAGTCTAATGGATTCACCACCTAGATTTAATGGTTCTTCATAAAGAATAAATGTACAAATTAAATAAGTCTCTATATTGCCTTAAATTATCTGTGAGAGTATGATTTGATAGATTTACAAAAGCTATGAATGAAGTTGAATATAAATAAAATCAAGGAGATCATATCCTCTTCATAAAATACTCAATGGATGATAAATTCTCAATTCTCATCATATATGTTGATAATATAGTTGCTATAGTTTATGATGATAGAGAGGAGTCTCAAAAAATAGCTTGTTGAAGAATTTGAGATAAAAAACGTTGGGAAAATTTAAATATATTTTTTAGAATAAACGTTGCTCAATTAAAATAAAAATATTTCTCTCTCAACAAAATCATGTCATGGGTCTATTTAAAGAAATAAAAATAATTGATTGAAAATCTTGTTAAGCCCCAACTAAATCATGCCAAAAATTGGATGAAGTTGAAAGAAAAGAAGACATGGGAAAATATTAATGACTAATTGAAAAATTGATATATTTCTCACATATGTCCGAACATTGCATTTGTAGTTTGTCTCATTTGTCAATTCATACATAAACTCCAAAAATATCATCTTCAAGTTGCTTAATGAATCCTCAAATACATTAAATCAAGTCCTGATAAAGGAATTCTCATTTTAAAAAAGGATGCCTTACAATTTAAAGGGTATACTGATGTATACTATGCCAAACCAGTAATTGGTAGAAGATTTATGATGCAGGCAAACTAGAAAGAAAGAGCCAAAAGAGGAGAACACCATGACTAGTAGAACAAAACTCAATTCAAATTAGAATGCTGACATCGAAACAAACACCAAAACAAACGAAACAAAATTAAAATTAAAAAACACTACCCTCAGAAAAATCGGCAAGTGGTTTCTTCACATGCAATGAAAAAGTAGGCAAAGTAAAATAAGTGCTTAAGGGATTGCAAACCAAGGGTCCACCACAGCTACATCCACAGCTACATGGTCCAGCATCTAACAAAACTCCTCCGGCAAATGTCACCAAATCAGCCAACAAACACCTCCAATACCTCAAGAAAAAGGATACATGTGGAGTGGAACTTGTGGAGAGAAGAAGAGGTTAGAAGCTCTAGACGAAATAGAGAGGAAGAGAGAAATGGAACAAGCTCT